ACAGTAACCACCCAGAGAAATGCAGGTTGTCATCAGACCAGTTGTCTGGAATAACCACTAAACATGGAGAGGATACACCAGTGATACCTTCAGGTTTGCTACAGATAGATTTGCACCCAACACTGGAAATCCAGAGTTGTTCTCCAACATTTGCGACCCCACATCAACAGTCAGCCCCCCAGCTGCCTTGTGACCAACCTCTGGAGTTTGATCCTAGTGGAAGAGATGAGGTGAATGAGGATTTGCCTGATGGTGTTGAGAGCTTTGAGGCCATGAAGATATCATCAAGGTCTGGGTCACCTGGGAATCAGGCCCAGCTTAACATCAACATCAGAGAGGTATAGGGTTTTGTGTGTGTGTGTGTGTGTGTGTGTGTGTGTGTGTGTGTGTGCGTTTTTGTTTTTTTTTATAAATAGAACCGATTTTTTTCTTTTTGGAAAGGCACTTATTTGGTTTCTTTTTGAGAGTGACATGAGAAGATGGATATCAGTCAGACTGAGCAGGGCTGTTTCCTGCTCATTCCAGACTGTGTGCTGTGCTAGGTTAACTGTGTCCTGACTCCAGCCCCGTACTGAGCACACAGGCATGAGATGAATATTAATTTTCTCACCTCACTCTCAGAAAAGTTAATAAGTTAACTTCTTGATGTCAAAACTTTTTTTTAAAGACATAAGTGTTACACTGTTGGCTAAATGATTAAACTCATTATTTATGAGCAGCAGAATTTTGGATTCCAATGTATTTCTTCCACTATTTGTTTGCAGATGATGGATTTTAATACCCCCATAGTACTGGACACTGGGTCTGGTTTGATGAAAGCAGGATTCGCAGATCAAGACCTTCCCAGCATTATATTCCCAACAGTAATTGGGCTGCCAAAATATGAGGTAGGGATGTGTTATTTCATTGATTAACTTAAGAATTTTAGAAAAAAATGAAATGGAGCTTTGCTGCTAGCCATTTTGTCTGATCAGATGTTTGTATTTTATCTTTACAGGAAATAATGAATGGTAACCTTGACAAGGAAACCTACATTGGACATGAGGCTCAGCATATGAGAGGGGTCCTGACTCTGAAGCACCCCATTAAAAATGGGATCATTAATAACTGGGATGAAATGGAAAAGGTAAGGTGAAATTAGATGTTATGTTACTGTTTAGCTACTATACCTACTTTCAAAAAGCATTCTTCTCTTTTGGGAAAAGAAACCCCCTGGGAGTACTGGAAAGATGGATGCAGAAAAATACAAAGCAATCCTGAATGAAAACCTTCTCCAGAGTGCTCAGGATCTCAAGCTGGGAGGAAGGTTTACATTTCAACAAGACAATGACTTGAAGTATACCACCAAGATAACACCGGAGTGGCTTCAAGAAAACTCTGTGCTCTGTGAAAGTCTTGTAGTGGCATTTCTTTCCTTCTTCTGCCAGAGGAAGGGAAGAAATTTCCAAAAAGTTTGTGGCTTCATTCTGAAGAAGATTTGAGGCTGTCATTACTGCCAAAAGTATTATCCAAGTACTAAGTGAAGGGCCTGAATTCTTCTATAAATGGGAAGTTTTGGTCTTTTATAAATTTACAAAACTCCACCATGTTATTACTTTATCACTGTGAAGTATTGTGTGTAGATTAAGAGAAAAAAAAATCAATTTTAAGATGTCTGAAACATAAAATGAGAGGGTCTGGAAACTTTATGTACACACTATGTTTCTAGCAGTTATTTTCTAACATGTATAATGAGTCTAGAAACTAATTAAAAGCAGCCTTTGGGGGGGATATATATATATCTCAATCACACACACGTAGGAGAGGGAAGATGGTCAGAACTGAGGGGAGTGTACTACCAGAGGGCAATATAGCAGATGGTGAGGACAGCTACAAGTACCTTGGGATCCCGCAGGCAAATGGGAATTATGAAGAGGCCGCAAGGAAAGCAGCAACCACCAAGTACCTGCAGAGAGTAAGGCAAGTCCTGAGAAGTCAGGTGAATGGAAGGAACAAAGTCCAGGCAATTAACACCTACGCCCTGCCGGACACCAGGTACCACGCTGGGATAATTAGCTGGCCAAAAGAGGAGATAGAGGCCACTGACATCAAGACAAGGAAGCTCCTTACAATGCACGGTGGGTTTCACCCCAAGTCCAGCATCCTGAGACTGTACACTAAGTGGAAGGAAGGAGGCCGAGGATTAGTGAGTGTCAGAGCCACTATCCAGGAT